AAAAACATAAAAAACAACAAAAACACAGAATTAAAAAGTTTTTCTATAGAGGCTCAAAAGCCAATGAGTCCATAAAGTAGACAAGTATTGCACAGAGCTTAGTCCAGGGTTGGTCAGTGTAGCCATGATACAGTTTTCAGATTCAGACAACCTACGCATGCATCTATACATGAGGTTATGCAGCACCGCAGGGCAGGTAGGCACACCTGCGTCTACAAACATTTTGCTTGCACTGCTCCATCGAGGTACCCTCAGCAGCATCCGCATGCCATCATTATATGCCACATTTAGTCTATACATACTGCTCCTTTTATAACGTCTCCACAGGTGAGAGGTATACATGGGAGTGCAGTAGGCCTTAAACAGTTGGATCTTAACTGATTTTGAACACAGTCCAAACCTATGTATCAGCATGTTAGCTTGTCCATAGAGCATACGACGTTGTCTGTAAATGTCTCTATCATCTGACAGGTCTGCAGTCACATAGTGCCCCAAGTATTTACATTCATTACTGATTTTCAGCCTGTTGCCTGACAGAAAGAAATCAGGAAACATCAACTCGAAGTCCTCTCTGCTCCGCATAATCATGATGCTGCTTTTCTTAGCATTGTATTTTATATCAAAGTCTCTTCCATAACCAGAGAACACCTGCAGCAGCTCTTGCAGGCCAGCAGTATTAGAACAAAAAATTACTAAATCATCAGCATACATTAAATGGTTGATGATCCTGTTACCAACCAGCCTGTTCCACAGTCATTTAAAAGCTTTGACAGATCGTCCATGTACACATTAAATAAAAAGGGAGACAGGATGCTACCCTGCCTCACACCATTTGAAACTCCGAAGGGATCTGATACAGAGTTTCCCCATTTTACATACGTGCTGATTAGCATACCAAAAAACAAGAATCCTCACCAAACATTTGGGGACACCTCTGTTATACAACTTGTGAAACAACTTTTCATGGTTTACATAATCAAAGGCCTTTGAGGCATCAATAAAACACATAAAAATTGAGGTGTTGTGTCTGTTGTATAGATTTAAAATTTCTTATATACATATATCTTACATCCGTCCAATCTTTTACCTGCTTCTTCCATTTTGGGTCACGAGGGTCGCTATGGTGCCCATGTACAGCAATCACTGTGCGAGGGGCGGGGTGCAAAATTGTAAAAGAAAAACCTTAATAAGATCTAAGATATGAACTAAGAAATACACTAAACTAGTAAGAATATGCTAAGCACTAATAGTACAAAAACAAAATGCTGAACAACAGCAGCAACAGCATATATATACAGTACATATATATATGCACCCAAAATTACTTGGTCTCTATAAACAGCATAGTAAGTGTTTCTTTCTGTCATATGTAAACTGTATTTTGTTTAGGTTTTTCTTCCAGTAGCCACACTTTCTTGGAATTTTTAAAGTGATATAGTCTGGATTTTTGAAGGCCTTTCACAGTTTTCTTTAGATTTTTGCTCATTGTTTTGTCCAGTAATAAAAGTAAATGCAGTAAGACCTCATGAGCGTGCCTCATAATCACGTCCAGTTTTCAGACATATACATATAAATCACCTTGTTGGACATTAATATGAACTTGTCTGTCAAACTGTTTTATTATCTGAAGACCCTGCAGGTTTAATCAGGTTCAGAAGATGAAAGAGTGAAGAGCAAACTGATTTTATGGAGATAAAACATCGCGCATGTGGCCTAATTAATACATTTAAGGAATTATTCAAATCCTGTACAGGGCCCCCAGGTTGGGAGGGCACCTCTCTGCACCCTGAACTCCCTCCTCCTCCTCCTCCTCCTCCTCCTCCTCCGTAATATTCCACTGCTCCATCCGTGCGCTCAAAAGCCGGAGCGCGTCTGAGCGCACGGATGCTGGAGAGCAGAAAGAGGAGAGAGGCTCAGAAAGGCAGGGAGAGAGAGAGACCAAGAGAATCTCTTTGCTGCGGCAGGTGGAGGGAATAAAGCACCTTCCACTCGCAGCAGGACCAAAGTCTGATCAGAGGTGAAGGTCGAGGAGAGGAGCCGAGGGAAGACGGAGCGCCGGTCCGTCCGCGCGCCTCCTCAGCCCCCCAGAGGAGGAAAGATTCCCCTAAACGCAGTGAGAGCCTCGGATGAGGAGATCAGGAGGGCGGAGGGCATTGGATAATCAACAGCCACGAGTAAGTCCTCAGTTTTAGGATGGTAATCCTATTTATTTCACCAAACATCACAAGCTCCTCTTTACTTGATGCACTAGGTGGAAAATTATGCAAACAGGTGGTTTCATGTCATATCTGTTCTGAAGATCTAATTAAACATTTTATTTAAAGCCTCATGTTAGACTTTTTCCACTTCTGAATGTTCATCTTTAACCGCAGCAGCTCCATTGTCAATATTCATTTGTTTGACAATTTAAACAAGATTTTGATTCATCCCTTGAAGAGTTTTCATATATAGAATGTTGTATTCTTTGCAAACCCTTAAAGATGCAAGTTCACGTCTAACATCACGTCAAAAACAGATCATTTCTGCTTTGATCATGAATGTGTAACTTCAGATCACTAAGGTTTGGAAAGAGGAAGAGTTGCTCTTATCTAACTTTGTCCAAATCAGCTGAATATGCAGAATAGTTTGAACAAACTTTACGAAGGCAAAACTTTACACTGTTTTACTTTTGTGTTTTTGCTCTAATTTGTTTTTTTTTTTCTCACAAAGACAGATTTTATTAAGTGAGATGGGAAGGAGACAGAAGAGAAAAAAAAATTCCTAAATGCCATCAGATCTTCTGCTGAGTTAAATTTAAGACAAGCTCTCTCACGTGCATCCTGTTTTGTCTATTCCATGTTTTTGTAAGTTTAAATTAATCAGCAAACAAAGAAAATGTGTGCTTATGTGCTATTCTTATTTGTGATTGCAAAATTAGAAAAACATTTAGTTAATAATGGTTTGTTTTGGGATTCGGATTTACATTTAATTCCTGCTTTTGCTTCATTTTGGTTTCAGATTGATTTCAAAAGACCTTAGTTGGGACAATACAGATTATCTTAGTCTAGCCTAAAAATTAGACAAGTTTACTAATGCTCTAAAATATACAAAAACAATGATTTATTCTCATTTTTCCTTTTTGGTGATAAGAACAAGAACGGATGTAAAGCTACTTTACATTTAGTTGAAATCCTGCCTCAAGAAAAAATACATTTTAAAAAGTTTGCTTTTAAACTGTAACTTTTCTTTTACAGTATTCTTTATGTTCTTTCATAAGCACGAGAATATAAAATTTGATGTATCCTCAAACATGCAAAATCTTATTTTTCCTCTGTTTTGCATCATGATCAGAACATTTGGACACACTAAACACTGAAGCGTTAATGAAGTAAACATCTGCCACTGGAAGTGGAGGCCTAGGACGTGATTTAATAATTAATATTTTTTAAAATAACAGTCGACCATGTTGACCTGAACAGCAGGTGACACACACAGGGAGGGGAAGTGAATGATAAAATAAACCACTAAATGCTTCTATTTTTCAATAATTTCTCTGACACAGTGGCAGCCCCAGACTTATTGGACCCCAAATCCGCCACTCACAACACGAAGCCCCGCCTCTCCTTCTCCACTAAGCCAATCACACTGAGTCCTCGGGAGGAAAGTGAGGTGAGAAATTAAAAGTTCAGTGAAATGTTAATAAACCTGGACCTTTGGAGCAGTCCTGCGTGCATGCAGCTTCTTTTAACAGCTGAAGTGTTGCAGGTGGTGGTGGTCACAGTGATGAAGTGGAAAACGGTGACAGCCATCTTCCTGTTGGTGGTTCTGTACCTGGTGATAGGAGCAGCGGTCTTCAGGTCTCTGGAGCAGCCTCATGAGAGGTAGGATGGATTAACTTATACCCATCATGACGTACCATCCTGTCCATCTGCATTGTGGTTACAATAATGTCACAATCTGGCATGATGTTTTATGATTAAATTGGCAGAACTGAAATATACCCAACATAATTATGTTTTTGATTAGCTAGATCCACATAAATAATTGACTTTTCTTCTGACGGTGTGGGTCCTGAGGAGTTAAAACCTCAGCAACATCTATTTAAAGAACGACTGTTATTTGACCATGGCTAATGAACTTAATCAGCATCATCATAAAACATCTGATGATCAAAATGTAAATAGGACAAGCACAAAACAGGAAAAAATACAATTAAATAAATAATCATTTACAACCATTAAGAAAAACCGATAAAAAAAAAACGTGGGTTTAGCAGCATCATTGGACAAACTGAACATGTTGTACAGTTATTGGTGGAGAAGCATTTTACTTCTTGTAGAAAGTTTTTAAATTTAAAGCGAAAGCAAAAGAAGCCACAAGATATTTCAACACAGTACATCCTAAAAGTATAAATCCAAGTGTAAATAAATAAAACTAGAAATTTATATCTACCAACATCTTACTTGTTGCTAAGTGAATTTTAATTCTATAAACAACAACAAATATTTTTCATGTATAAAAATCAAAACAAACGCTCAATGAAGAACAAATCCTCATTCATGCTTCCAGGACAGATTTTAGGACGAGAAACTCATTGTTGTTTTCCATCTCGGACCAATTCAGTTTAAAAGCTGACTGCTGTGATGTTTTATGATGACCTTGATGAAGGCCACAAACCAAAACATGGTGATCAAAGCAATAATTTATATGTCTACTAGTTCAAATGGTCTTTACTGTTTTGGATACGTACGTTTTCACTCTCAACACACCTGAAGTTGGGTCAGAAACACTTCGACGACCTTCAGCCCTCCCCTCAGTTAATCATGTTGCACCTTCATGTTTCTGCTTTGGCTCAGAAAGAACAAAACAGGAAACTACACCAGAGTGAGCATTTAAAGATTTTACAAATAAACTAAATTAATAACAGTTGTAGTTGTCAATAAATACTGCAAAGTAAACCTTTAATACTTCTTAATGTCAAACCGTCAATACTGATTTTATTGTAGGCTTTAATGCTATTGATCATACAGCATTAACAGCTAAAAATATTAAACCCTATTACTTTGTTGGGTCAAATTATGCTCAAGATTAGGATGCAGCATCCTCCTGAGAATCATGACTTGGACATTTCAACAGGTGGCTTTAATGTTTTGGCATATCACCTGATTTTAAACTCAGTCATTTGTCAGTTTTAACTAACTTTCCTGTTAGCATTTATCTCTGAGCAGTCTGAGATTTCATAGGCTACTCTTGGTTAATGATAAACAGAACCGTGACCTCCTCTTCCTCCTTTCAGTGCCCAGCGTTTGGCCATCCTGACCCAGAAGTTGGAGTTCCTGTCCCAACACGCCTGTGTCAACCAGAGCCAGCTGGAGGAGCTCGTCAAGGTGCGGTTCTCCTCACAATATCTTCAGATGACGAAACTTTTCACAAAATGCAGCAGAGCACATGCGCTTCATGATTCAGGTTGAACAACCTGACACGTGATAGCAGAAGAAGAGTAAACATTAACAACATGGTTAATTAGGAAAGGTTGGACGCGTGATATCTTTACATATATGTGTTTGTGCCAGATGATGGAAAATGTATTCATATATTTGTTTCCTCCACTCTTTTTTCTCCTCCATTTGTTGTTTTTAGTGACATTTCCACAATCATGACTTTCAGAGAATTTCAGCATGTGCTTTTAACACAATTTTATAACATACATCTAATAACACAACAGAAAATATGCCGTTGTATAAAATCTGCCTTTTTTTTTTACCATTGGTTGAGCTGGAGTCCAAGTATTGTCCAGTTTTGTGGGGGTCCATGACAATAAATTGATCAGTGTTTTAGTGTACATAAACATTCACTCCTTGATATAAAAAGCTGAGAGTACCACTGGATGATAAGTGACAGCTGTCATTAGCAGTCATCAAGTGTTGTCCAGCCTTTAGCAGGGTTACGGTGTTACATCAAACATTTAATATGTTCAATGACTTCAGAGATTGCTTTACAACTGGGACATTAAAAACGTACCAGTCTGAGGTGAAAATACTCCAAATATTCTGTAAAATTAACCCAATCCAAGCTTTTTAGCTTTTGAAGCAGTATGAGCCTCAAGTATTTCTTTAGAGAACTTTTTATATTAATTTGTACTTATACTTGATAGACGTAAAAGCAATAAAAAATAATAATAACTCCAATAGGTGAATGTTTGAGGCCTCAATATGTTTTAGTTTCATGCTCCTTGTTTCTCCAACAGATGATTGATGAGAGTTTGTTAATTAGTTTTCGTGAATTTCTGAGCAGAAACTCCTGTTTCATGAATTATCTTGACTGTTTTATCGATGGTGTATCTGAGGAGAAACAAGTTCAGTAAATGAGTCAAGATTAATCAACTCCCATGATTCTGACAAACTGCTCAAGTAAAATAATAACCATTTTCATAAACTAACACAAACTGTGGATCTCCACTGTTCATATGTAACCCGACTGTCTACAGAACCAGAGACCCGAAGAGAGAGGTGTTTAGTCAGACCGACAGTTTTAGGTGTAGTTGATGTGTACTGGTGCCGAGTTTTCAGCACCAAGGACAGCTTCGGCCTCACAGAGACGCAGCCGAGGAGCAGAAAGTGTTTCTGTTGTGACACCAACAACGTGGGTCCTGATCCCAGTTCTTAATGAGAAATGAAAGATTCTGCCTCCGTCATGTCACCTCAAGCGTTTATCTTTAATTCGTCAGACAGACATTGTCACATAGTAACTGAATGTTAAAGTATCCTGTGATATCTGTTCCTTTTATGTTTGGACTCTCCAGCAAGTTGTGTCTGCTATCCGATCAGGGGTGAACCCTGCAGAATCCCTGAACAACCACAGCAGCCTGTGGGACCTGAGTTCTGCCTTCTTCTTCGCTGGGACCGTCATCACAACCATTGGTACAAAACACACACCCAAACATCTGTTTCCAGCTGTGAGCAACGTGCTGGTGACGACAGTCTGCTGCTGTAAAAAGAGACGCTTCTTTTGGTCATTTCTTTGCTTCCTGGATATGATCAGTCTTTCTTCATACATGTTCTTCACGTGTTTATTCTTGTTTCATCATGTTGTCTCTCATTATGCAATGTTTCGGCTTCAGTCGCCTTCTTTGGTTTCTCATTTAGTTATAAAACTTTGGTTAAGACTTGTGGAAGAGTAAAGACCAGACAAGTTTTCACCCCGCACACGTAAATGAGGCAAAACTGCCGGTAGAACTGTATTCTCATTTTATTACATGTACCGGTATAAAATATATTATATATTAAAAAATAAGATTTTCAACCAGTTTGTATGTGCAGCAGCTGTTCTTTTACCATAATGAGTACATTTGTGAAAAGATTAAACACTTTTTGTAGAAATTTTCTTCACTTTCCTGCATAAAATGATCAACTCTGTGCACTCATTCGTGATGTTATACTCATGAGATGTTCTACACTTTGTATAAAACAGTGCTTGTAGGTTTGTTCTTCTGGTCCTCTGAAGTTAAGATATTTGCTCAGGAACGTTCCAGCCTCACGTTTTGGATTTGGTCTCTGCAGGTTTTGGCAACACTTCGCCACATACTGAAGGCGGAAGAATATTCTGTATTGTCTACGCTCTGCTGGGAATACCCCTGTTTGGCTTCCTGTTGGCTGGTGTAGGGGATCAGCTTGGCACCATCTTTGGTAAAGGCATTGCCAAAGTGGAGAAAATGTTTATGGTGAGTTTGTGATCAAATGCACAGGTAACCCAATACGTGTATAAGTATATAAGTGAACTGTACCAACAAGTTAATGCGCAATATACTAAATAAAGCACACAATGTGATGTAACTGTTGAACTGTGCCATAATAAACTGTAAATACAGCTAAATCTAAAATAATAACTCCTTGGAGGAGGCACTCTTTTATTCTGGCTTTGTTATGTTGAGTCTTCACCTCGGCCTCGGCTGACAGTGGTGGGAAAATTATTACTGCCTAGCCATGATTTAATGGTACGTTGCCACAAGCGCAATAAGTCACGGCTACAAGCTGATAAGTTAATAATGGTTTGAAAGGACAGGAAAGCCTGTGGGCTGAGTCACTTTTTATAGATGCTGGCATAATGTATTACCCAGTACAAGAAACAGAGGCGAATGCAGCTTTCAGCTAAATTAAAGCTGACTAAAGAATTCAAACTAAATAAATTAAATAGTCTAAAGTTTATAGTTTACATATATTTAAATTAATAAAGTATCTAAATTGCTGTAATTGAAGAAATCAAAGAACACATCGGATGCATTTGATGTTGTATTTTACTTAGACAAGACAGACATTCAGACACTTTAGTAACAAGCCTGCAGATGTCAGACCAGATGACTTCAGCTTGTCAAAAGCTGAGTCATTTAATCACATTTGTGCTCCTGAACAAAAAGAGCAAGAATATGACTTAACACTTATGTAGCTCAGAACAGCTTGCTCTCTCTGCTGCTCTCATAACCGTAGGACTCATGAGGGATTAATTATTGGTAACCATAATTGAGGGAAGAAATAAATAAATAAATAAATAAATAAATAAATAAATAAATAAATATATATATATATATATATATATATATGAAAGTGTTTATAAAAACAACGTTATTCTATATTGATTGTCTGTTCAAGGAGGATTGGAGCACGATAGCCTCAGTGAATGTGTTTTTTTTGTTGTTTTGTTTTATAGCACCCAAAGGACCCATTACTGGAATAAAGCCGACACTGTTGGGTTTTTATTAACAATTCATTTTAACAACAGGTTCTCTTTGGCAGTTTTTTCCACAACTATTACTGCCGGCTGGTCTTCTTAAGTTTTGAAATACTTTTGAAATGTTTGAGCTTCTATGATCAATAATTTCTGGATAAATCTGCACTGTTTTTACATTCTGCTTTAGTTTCTGATGAACAAACAATGAAATGGTGTCACTTTTATACGTAGATGTTCATTTGAGATGCCTTCCGCTAAAAAGACAAAACTGGTATGAGCTGTAAGAGAGAGTATTTACTTTGTGGCATAAAGAAAAGAGCACAAAAAGAACAGTTCGAAGTAATTAATTATCAAAAAACTGTTGGAGCTAAAAACAAACGAGCGAGGAGCCAGATGGCTGAAAGTCTCTGATCAATATACTGTTAATTGAACAAGAAAAATCCATCACTGCACAAATGTAGCTGATCATTAGTAGTCTGCCTTAATTTTTAATTTTGTGTATCGTCAGTTCCAGTCTGCTGTTTTTAGACCAGTTCAGACAAAAAGCCTCTGTTGTTTCTCCCCTGCAGCATTGGGACATCAGTCAGACAAAGATTCGAGTCATTTCCACGCTGATGTTTGTTCTCTTTGGCTGCTTGCTGTTTGTGGCGCTTCCAGCAGCCATCTTTAAACACATCGAGGGCTGGTCCGCGCTGGAGGCCCTGTACTTTGTCGTCATCACCTTGACTACGATTGGGTTTGGAGACTTTGTGGCAGGTGAGTCAAACACAGACACACCTCTTTGCACCTGCTGTGTTTCTACACATCACGTGGACACGTCTCACCACTGTCCGTCTGTGTCAAGGTGGCTCAGACGTACAGTACCTGGACTATTACAAACCGGTGGTTTGGTTCTGGATTCTGGTGGGACTGGCCTACTTTGCAGCCATCCTCAGCATGATAGGAGACTGGCTCAGAGTTATCTCCAGAAGGACAAAAGAAGAGGTATATTAATTTAAATTAGCTACTTTTTGCAGCTTTTTTTCTCAAATTATTTTTAGTTTTGCAAAACACACATATTCATCTCAATCTGTTCCTCTGTCTTCCCTTGTCTGCAGAAATACACACGTTATTTTTGACCACACATGAGTTTTGACCTTCTGCTTGACTTTGTTTCAATGACACAACTTTCTTTTAATACAATTAACTCCCTGTCACAGACAATAATCACCTCCAGAGGGAAAGAAAGACCTTTTAGGCAACGTGTGATGACGCTTCTGTTTGAGATGTAATATACAACACATCTTGTAGAAATTAATTTAGCTTTTTATAGAGGAACATATGGAAGATTTTAGCTATCAGTATAAAAACACTGCCAAGTTCCTCCCTCAGAAAGATGGAGCTGTTGATATCTGATAATTGGATTTCACCTGTGAACGTGAATAAATATTGCTGGATTTATTTCAGCCGGTTCTTTACACACAAAAGTATTTTTAAGTGTCGGAACCCCGATGTCAGAACTCAGTCAGCATTAGTTGAACAGGATTAAATGTTACCAGCTTCACCTGCAGCTGAGGCGATGTTCGATTTCCGACACGTGTGTTCTCATGCTGAAGTCCTGCGACAATAACCTCGGCAGCTTGTAAATGTGAGCTTATCGTCGGTCTCTGTCATGTATGGAGAAATAAACACATAAGCAGAGCGGTCTGAAGTGATATCAAGATGGCTGCTGAGACCGCACAACACAAACAGATTTGTTGAATTAAAAGCTCTACTTTTTTAAAAGGGGCTTCTATGTTATAAAAAGTCAGGAGTTTCTCTCCAGCGGTGATGCAGAATACAGAACGGATCAACATCCGAACTTTGGTGGAGCTGAAGATGATAAGCAGATCTGGATGAAACTGTGTTTTGCTCCATTTTATTATTGTGTTGCATCCTCCTGGCATTCTGACTAAACATCGGGCACTGCAGCTGAATAAAGTGTGTCCATTTAGGTTTCTAAATTATTTAAAATATTTCAACTTGATTTCCCAATCACTCATTTTGTTTTACACTTCAGCTTTGTAACTCTGAGATGTAGTGTATTCACTTGTTTTTGCTAAGTATAAATAGATACATCGACTGATAGAAATATGACCAAAATTTGGATTTAAAAAAAAAAAATTTAATAACTTGCAGCTGCGTTTCATGGCTGATAGACTCTGGTGGAGTAAAAGATGCAGATTTATTGTTTTAATATTTTAAATTCCTGAACCTTTATATTATTAATATGATTATTAACAAGTAATGTTACAGTCAGTTGGTACAGTGTATTAATAAATCTGAAACCTGGAAGTTAAACAGTTTTCAGATAATGGTTTATTATAGATAGTTATTTAAATCTATATTGCAAAACATTTCGCCACATCTGTTGTAAAACTAAAATGTCCAGTGTCAAACATGGGTGTGGGTGTGTGTGTGTGTGTGTGGGGGGGGGGGGGGGGGGTCAGTACAAATGTATTTTTTCACTTTAAATCATATGAGGTGTTTATTAGGTCACAGTGTAATTATTTAATTTTAAATTGTTGATATTCTTTAAATGAATCCCAGACTTCTTGAACTTTACAGACTTCCTTCTTTATACACCTTGAAGAATTTTTAGCTCGTTTGCATATTTCAAAGACCTGATATCCTGAATCAGACAAGTCCATGACACCAAGGCAGAAGCTGGATGAAAGGATGAGCGCCCCCCCCCCCCCCCCCCCCGGTCGCAGTACCAGCTTGTACCCACACCCAAGTTGTTTTTTTTCTTAACGTAAGGAAAAATACACTTTGTGTTTTTTCAGGTGTTGAATTTTGTTGATTAATGTAGTTCTTGGCAAGACGGCTCAGTTGGAAGATGTGTTGCCTCTCAGCAAGAAGGTTGCCAGATTGAATCCCAGCCAGCAGCCTTTCTGGGTGGAGTTTACAAGTTCTGTCCCTGCATGTGTGAATTTTCTCTGGGTACTCTGGTACAAGAAGACCAAAAACATGCACAATAGTCTGATTGGTAACTCTAAATTGTCCCTAGGTGTGAGTGAGAAAGTTAATGGTTGTTTGTGTCTATGTGTCACTGTGATGGACTGGAGACCTGTCCAGGGTGTCCCCCGCCTCTCGCACAGTGACAGCTGGATATGGATACCAGTGACCCCTGCGATCCGAAAAGGAAGAAGTGGGTAAAGATGATGGATGGATGGTATCATCCCACATTCAGGGCACAGACTTGATGGCTCAGGTTTAGCTTTCTTTCTTGTGGGGCAGCTGTGGCTGAGTGATTAGAGCAGACATCCTCCAGTGGTAGAGTCGGGGGTTCGATTCCACTAGCAGTCACATTCCACTAGAAGTCACTGAAGTGTGCAAGACACTGAACCCCTCTTTGCCTCTGATGTGTCCCATCATTGTATGAACGTGATAAAGCTCTGATTAGTCAGATCTAGTAGAGTGCTGTATGATTGGGCAAATGATTGACAGATCAGTTTACCAGTATTGATGAAGTAAATCTGAATCAGCCCAATCAGCACACCTTTCTGTCTCCGTCTCTGTTGCAGGTAGGAGAGATCCGAGCGCACGCAGCAGAGTGGACAGCTAATGTTTCTGCAGAATTTAAAGAAACTCGCCGCCGTGTCAGCGTTGAGATCTACGATCGATTCCAGCGAGCCGCTTCGATTAAACGCAAACTGTCCTCAGAGCTGGGATTCAGCTCAGCACCTGAACTCACGCTGCCTAAGAGGACCATGTCAGCCAATTTCACTGACGAACGGGAGAAAAAGGAGAGCGGGCTGCAGGACTTGACCACACCACTGGTCAGAAACGGAGGGTTGCTCATGAACGGGCTGGACTCTGAAAGAGGGAACCTCTGATTCTGTGAACATTTCAAGCATGAAGAGATCCTTGGTATGCCTTAAAGCATTAAAGTCTTCATTTATAAAGCAAAAAATGGTGCTTTGTGGCTGAAACAAAGTCGTCTTCACCGCTCATGATGGATACAAGAGAAGTAAAAGCTGGAAGTTCTTGGCCCACCAACAAACATAGAGCCTGAAGAACCTGAAGCTTGTAGAATTAAACATTACATTTTGAGTGGACGGCACAAGTAGAATTAAAGTATCTGAGAAGCCAGAAAAGAAGCTGAATGTGTGCATGTCTGCTCGTAGCACTCCAGTGTTTTATATTTTAACAACTTATTAGTTTGTTAAACTAGCATTAATCCAGCGCTGTTACAACTCTAACCCCGTGTTGCTGTTTTTAATCTCAATCAGCCTCAACTAGAACAGTTTACGACCTGTTGTCTGTATTTTAGGATGTCACCATGTCAGAAATGTGAACGTTTCTCTGATGGAGAAGCTTTTATTAAAGTTTATGCTGTTTTTTTTTTTAAACTTGAAAAATGTTTTGCACATTTAATCATATACTAAAGTAAATGTAAAATATGATATTTACAAGGTTGTGCAGTTTTATATTTTGAACCTTAATATCTTATATGACTTTTATTATTACTGTTGTTTTGTTTGTTTGTTTGTTTTTTAGCATAATTCTTCCTGTTAAATTAAAGCCCAGCGTGTTTTGGTTGTATGAGTTGCTGGTTCATTTAGTTCAACACTTTGTTGCCAACATGAATCAATACTTATGTCAGCGTCACGTTATTTTTAGAAACTCAACAGGTTTTCAGTGAGTGCTGTGAACTGGGTAAAGAAAGTGATCATTGTGATTATTTCCAGTCAAATCCATAGTACAGTCCTGCTGCTTTTAGGCCTGTGATTTTTACAGCATCCTGCACAAATCGACTGCACAGATGAGACGTACTTTTCAAACGTGCCTTGGACTCTGGATGCATTTAGATTTGCATGCATTTTAAAGATTTGTTCAACCTGCTCAGTGCCTCAGACCACATGTGCTGCAGACCAAACACAATACACTGAGAGGTGGAGAACTAATACCAAACTGAACTGTTTGATTGTTGTCAGTTCTTGATTTACATATTATGTTTCTTCTGACATCCATCCACCTCAGGGTCATGGTGTTTTTCTCCAGGTGACACTGAATGAAAGGTGAGGTAGGCCCCGGAGAGGTCCACCTAACCGTCGTTGAAGATGTATTTGATTTGATTGTTTCCTCCATTTTACCAAATAAAAGCATACAGACATACAATTGTTTTCTTTATGTTAACCACAGGAGCTTTACAGAAACTGTGAAATCTGTTCTATGACTGTATTTTGTTATTAAAGCTTAATATTTAGTTATACGTCGTCATTAGCTGTGACAGAATTGCCATGTAGTGTTTACCCGTTGAAGCTGTAACTAGACCAGTATTCTTGTGCCTTCTTCGATAAGCTCTACTTGTGTAAAAGTCTTTTTGTATTACCAGATATTTTCTGCTACTTAGTCTTTGCCTCATCCCTGCAGTTCTGTTTACAATTTTTAAATAAAAAAAATTAGAATAAAATCCACTATCTGGGTTTTCTGCCATTCCACATTAAACAGATGAAGCCTTATGTTATTACAATGTAATATGACTGTCTTTAGCAACATTTGAGTCATTTTCACACAGAATAAGAGACATTTCACCAAGAAGTATGAACATCGTGAGGCTGAACTGTATACTTTATTTTAGTGACACTTGTTCAGACATTTGTTTTTAAGTTCCACTAAGGAAAAGAAGAGTTTACACAAATCTAGTCTAAAAAAATACTCATCTACTTTGTATCTATTGCTGATTTGAGTGGAATTATTTGTGCTGTTGAACTGTAGTCATCACATATAAATGATGCAAACATAAAAATATAAATGTACAGTCAATTCGATTCAGTTTATTTATGTAGTGCCAAGTCACAATAGAAGTCATCTCAGGGCACTGAAAGCAAGTTAATCACTATTTATCTGAGGAGCCAGCCGAGTTGTGGCCAAACGTTTTGAGAATGGTACAAATTGTGGTTGTCATGGTGATCAGATGAATTGCAGGACATTGCTGCTTGTAGCACCCCAATCAACCATTAATCAAATCATCAAGGAGAGTTGGAGTGAAGAAAGCCCAAGAAAGTCAACCAAGTGTCAGAACCGTCTCCTAAAGAGGACGCAGCGACGAGATCGGGTCACCACCAGCAGCGTTGAGCTGGCTCAGAAATGTCAGAGGGCAGGTGTGAGAGCATCTGAGCAGTGAGACGAAGGTTTTTGGAGGATGGCTTGGTGTCAAGAAGGACAGCAGAGGAACCACCTCCCTCCAAGAAAAACATCAAGGTCTGACCAACATCCTGCAGGATGTGTAGGGACTGGACTGCCGAGGACTGGAGTGGTTATCTTCTCTGATGAAGCCCCTTCAGAAAGTTTGGGACATCTGGAAAAATGATCGTCTGGAGACGAAAAGGTGAGAACTTCCATACTGTGTCATCTTGAGACCGTTCATGTGTGGAGCTGCTTCTCATCCAGGGAGTGGGTTCGCTCAAACTTATATCTAAGAACACTGCCATAAATAAGTAATGATATCAAAACATCCTCCAAGAGCAACTTCTCCCAACGAGCCAGCAACAGTTTGGAGACGAACCAAGTTTTTTCCAGCATGACAGAGCAACGTGTCACAAGGCAACAGTGATAACCAAGTGGCTCGGTGAACTAAATATTGACATGTGGGCCAGGAAACTTCCCAGATCTCAACCTCACTGAGAATCTGTGGTCAATCCTCAAAGAGGGGTGGACAATGAAACTCCAGAAGCTCTGATCAACTCCAAGCACTGATTAGGCAACAATGGGTTGCCATCACTCAAGACTGTGCTCAGAAACATATCCAGCATGCCGAGGGAAACTGTGGAGCCTTTAAAAAGTGTCAACATGTAAATACAGTCTTTGCTTAAAACGGTTATATTTGTCAATAAAAAGTTAAAAAATGCACATATTGCTTATAATTGTACTTTTTTATACCATATAAACATCTGACTAAAGGTTCTAAAAGAACCGAGACTGAAAACTTTATGAAAAACAACATTTATGCCATTCTCAAAACTTTTGGCCACGACTAAAAATATTTATCAAAATCACTTTTAGTGTTAATTTTGTTAATTTAACTAACACAAAAGTCATCAAAGAATTATATTTTTAAAGATTTATTTTGAACAGTTGGATTTACTTTAATTTTCTTTGACAATGATTTTTTTTATGTCATTGAAGCCATCTCACCTCTAATTATAAGGATGTAATCAAGTATTTAATGTGAACATAACAGAGCTCTTGTATTGGATGTGATGCAGTTTTCTTATTTAATGAGACCATAATCCTGTCACACCAGAACTACTCAACTATGAGCTCAGATAATTGTGTTCAATATTATACATGCCAGAAATACTCTGATACACGTGAACATGGTCACTTGAGAGTAATCAGATTATTTTATTTGTCGTATCAAAGCAGTTTCTGGATTTTCTACAAAAATAAAAACATCTTATTCCCATCCTGCACTTTTTTATGGCTCCAGCTGGTCAGTTTGAACTTTACTTTACAACACACCATACCAGCTTTGTTTATAGAGCAGTTTAACCATCCACAAGCCCAAAGTGCTGCACACATAAAACAATCAATCAGTCAAAAAAAAAAGAAGTAATAATTAAAACAATTAAGAGTCAACATCTCAGATGGTGTCAAAGGTCAGGGAGAAGAGAAGGGATTTAAAAACAGACGGGGAAGAGGCCTGTCTGATGTTCAAGGGAAGGTTGTTCCACAGTTTATGAGCTGCCACAGGAAACGCACGGTCTCCTCTGAGCTTACGCTTTGTCTTCAGGACACAGGAGCAGCTGATCTGAGAGATCGAGAGGGTGTGTACGGATGTAGCAGCTTGGACAGATAGGGTGGGGCAATGCCATTAAGAGCTTTAAAAGCAAATAATAAAAAATAAATCCTAAATGTATGGGTAGTCAGTGCAGGGAGGCCAAAACAGAGGAAATGTGGTCAGATCTTTGTGTGCCAGTTAAAAGCAGAATTCTGCACCCTTTACACGACTAATACGTCTTTTTTAGTTTCATGAGGTGCAGCATGGCCACCATGCTTTACAAAAGCAAACAGCTTGGGTTGTTTTACACTTTGTATCTTGCAACATCACGCACCGTGCATCAAATTGAGCAGCTCAGTCCAACAAAATCATCCATGCACAACAACACATTATGCAGTAAATCATGTTTTCATGCCTTTTAGGTTTCTCAGATTTTGAAACGATCGTTTCATTTCCACCATTACTCCATTAAACTCTGTACGTTTAATCATCGTGGTCTTTTTTTCCTCTCAGGTCGCAGCAGCTGATCTGCTGAGTTATTATTAGTGTTTAAACTTCCTGGATGGCAGATCGGCTTGATGAGTGCGACTGGCCTGTGGCTGCAGGTCTTATGATGCGTGAGGGAAAGTTATGAAAGCAGGAAGTACAAACTAGAACCAACACATCTACAGTTACAGTACAATGTCTTACCACCAGATTTCAGCCACTGGACAAACCCGTAGCGCCTCCAAGACACAGAAATAAGCTGCAACGTGAACGAGACGTTTAGGCGGTTTTGGTAAAGTAAATCAAATGAAATCACAGAGCTCTAAAGGTTCTGTGTGATGATGAAATGCAGCTACGGCACCAAAATTAATGTCACGCTTATATTAAAATTTTAATTTAAGGAAAAGAGAGAGAGAGAGAGAGAAAGGATATTTTACAAAGAACCTTTGTAGCAGAAACTGTAGCTCACTTTGGGAAAATCAAAAAGGTTCTGTTCATAACCACTTCCTGTCTGTGACTCCTGCTTACACAGGGCTGCTGGGTAAAGAATGGGACAAATCATGCATACAGCAGGGGGGATGGACAGTCGGTCAGTCCGTCAGTTGTACAGACAGACACACACACTCTTGCATAAACAAACACACACTCTCCAGTCTCAGATCCAGTGATAACATAGCTCAGCAAGCCCATCTCATTTCCTATGTCCTGGGCCAGAGTTGGTTTTGGCACTGCAGCTTACGCTAACAGCTCCAGCCAGAGACACCAGAGCAGGACTGTCTCCTCTCTGTTCCCATAACCTCACCATACCCTCCTGACGAGCACGCACACACACACACACCAGGTACATCTATACACTTCCTCTCCACCTTCTGCTCTGTGATCACATTCATCCTCCAACAAGAAACCGATTAAAGCCTCATGTGTCGCATTCTTAAAAGAATGTCTTCAGGAGGTTTCAGCAGAACATGAGGTGAAAAGGTCACATCAATACCTATAATCTTAATGTCCTAAAAAACATCAATGGTATTGATCTGAAGTGGAGTTTCTCTGGTTCACACAGAAATAAAAACCCACTAATCATTTTTGACATTTACATCAGCTTTTGTTCTCCTGGGGTTCAAATCACTGAAAACAGCAAATGGAGAAAACCTGTGTGTGCAAACAACCTGCAGGAGAACCTAAAGATGGCAGGGACAGATGCAAAGATAAAAGACCACCTGAAAACCAGCCAAACTGTTCAGGAAAACAAAGATCCTCCTGCAGTTCTGATTGTTTTACACCTTTTGAACTAAAAGGAAAGAAATGTTCCTTGTTTGGATGTTGGTAGGTTCATATTGCTGAGCCCATTAAAAACAAAAAAGTGGCATTGCAAATGTAAGAAATGATTATTACACAACCAGCCTGATCAAGAAAGCACATCAGACTCTACTTCCTCAGGAAGCTGAGGCAAGCTGGTCTGGGAAGCTTTTAGTCCTCACCTCCTTCTACAGGTGCAGTGGAGAGCATCCTGAGCTCCAGCATCAGCGTGTGGCATGGAGGCTGCACAGAAGACTGTTGGAGTCAGCCCCTCCACCATCAGACATCTACACCTCCAGCCGCAGGAAGAGGGCCACCTGCATCATGAAGGACCCCACTCACCCAGCACACATTTTTCCCCCTGCTCCCCTCAGGCAGAAGGTTGAGGAGCATTAAGTGTAGAACCACTAGACTGAGGAACAACTTCTACCCTGAAGCTGTTAAGTGTCATGAATCCCTAATCAGGATTATCACTGTGAAAAAATAAAATCACTGTAATGCCACTTTGATTGTTGATGTGCTACTGATTATCCATGCTGCTGAATTCATTCATATTCATGTGCTCACAAAGAGTTAGTTCATAGTTTAGATCTTATTACGGTTTGTCTTTTACAATTTATACTATTGTTGGATGTAACTGAGACCCAGTGTACAATTTTGTTCCACCACGTGTACGACATGTGATGTAAATGACAATAAAGAAAACCTTGACCTTATTTAAATATCCCTCTGTTCAAACTGAGGCTCACACATCATACATACTGACTGGATTATTACATTTTGTTCACCTGAAACATAAAGTCCAAATGCACTTCAACAAGTCTGAACAAACTTGATCGGAAACAACCCAAACCCAGAACATGAATTTAAATAAAAAAAATTAAATA